AAACCTCATAACGCCAGCTACAAAGCGTCAAAAGTGTGGTGGTGTTGCTCCAGCTGTGGTGGGAGCCGCAAGGGTTGCACGAGCTGCTCCACCGCGTAGTCGACGGCAACGACCGATAACGCCCTCCAAAAAAATTTCTGAATAAGCCAAAACTTTCGTAGGCCTGTATATAGTATAATCCTAGCTTTGCGCAATTTTATTACGATTTGTGGTGGCTCTACAGCCTCATCTTGTTGACTATATTGAGTTGTTGGGGGTGCTCAACTGGCGATGGTGCTCATCTGGTGCACGGGCACTGTAGTTAGTCTTAATTCTTACCAGCTTAGAACTGTGCACAAACCCTTCACAAGGATGCTTAGTTAACACCCCTTTATTTCAACATTGTCACTTGCTATAAGGGGCTTAACTCAGGAGAGTGCTATTGCAAGGACGATGCCTGTATACAAATAGAAGGCGAGATAGCTGCCTGAGCAAATATCTGGCTAACGGGCAGGGCAGGCGAGGGCAACGAAGTCGTAGACGAGGATAAAAAGCGAAGGACGTTCATCGCATCGCACTTGGTAGAAGCTGTTACATTACTAAATCATTTTATAAAATATATATAGAGTAAATAGTTGTATCCGCCACTGTTTGAACGGGCTACTCTGAAAACCAGCATGCATACAAAAGGAAAAAAATAAGACTGAAAACATGCAGCTATCGGGGCTGTTAGATGGGCTTACTGAAGACGACTAGGATGAAGTTTGGCTGTTGAAAACATGCCAACTTACTATGGTAGGCATAGACAAGAAGAGGGAGTAATTGAGAATAGGTAATGAACGAGGGGAAAGGATTGCAGAAAGATACCAGTTAGTGAGAACAAACAAGCAATGGCCTTGATCTGAGCTTGCTGGTAAAATCTGATATTATTGGCTTAGGATATGTCGGTTCAACGAGAGCTTCGATAGAGCCCTTGTGTCCATCCCTCGCCGCTCCATTCTCATCTTCATCTGGGGGGCACAACAATCGTTCCACTCGTTCCGTATAGCTCCTGAAACGATCCCTTAGAGGAATGGAAGTACTTTGGGTCTCTCAGCGCAAGCTTGAGAATACCCACGTTCTGGAAACGCCCCACGCCCCGGTGATATAAATGCTGACCCGAATCTTCATGAGTGTTGGATTATGAGCCGGGTGTATGATGTGTTGGGCCACGATATCCACCGGTGAGGACTAATCGACGCAGTCACCTCTAGCTGATCCCTCAAACAGAGCGCTGGATCTATACAGCCGATAGTTTCCCCGCTCTTCGGCCTGTCCTTCGATAAATGCTGACAGCTAGGATATATGCCGCCTGAAGGTGTAATAGTCTTAACGTGGGTGCGATGCAGCTCAGCGAGAGCTTCTGATTGACCCGGCTCTAGGTGGGCCGTATATATTTTCGATGGAATACGATCTCGCAAGTTGGAACCGTATTCGCTTGACAATGTATGCCTTTTTGGCACAAGCCGTGGTGCATTTAGTCATGTCCGTACCTTTGATCTAGCAGAACTTCACCCGTTACACTGCATAAGGGCTTACTCTTTATCTTGGCATAGCTGCACAGCATTATACAGAGGGGTGACACGAAAAAAACGTCACTTAAAAAGTTGTTATTTTAAAACTTTTATATCTAGCTAGAAAAAATAGCTAGAAATAAACGGATTGCAGATCTAGAAAGCCAAGATCTCCTAGTTTGGCATAGTGAACCCACCTCCTGCTTAGTCAGCAGCTCTGAGCGGAGAAAAATTATAGAATGTGGGAGACTAAAATAATAAAAATTTCATTTATTGTAAAACAATAGTCCTTACTTAAAAAGGCTTAGTTTTGAGATATGTGATAGTCTATATATAGAAGATCACGTGACATGTTTTTTTCTATTTTTAGCAATCCTCTAGAATTAAATATCAAGTTCTAAAGACAAAGTTACTAAATTAAGTTTAGTGTATTACTAAGCCTGATTAGTCATAATATACTATATATTTGATTCTTTCTATCCTGAATTTCTGATTTCTTAATTCCTCACTATGGATCCAAAATTTTCAAAATTTGAAGCTGAAGTTGCCCGTTTGTTAAAGGCAAATATAGCCATTAAAAATATATCTATTTTACTTAGTAAGCCACCTAAGGCTATTAGAGACGCTATTTATCGATTTAAAAAGAAAAAAAATTAGAAAAGAAAGCTTGAAAGAGTTAGTAGAGGCGGAGTTTCAAAGCTTTCAGAAAGAGATAAAAGATCTATTAATAGAGACTTAACTAGGAGCCCTAAAAAGACAAATCGCCGATTATTAGTTGAAAATGACGTCAATATTTCAACTAGAACTTTACAGCGATTTTTAAAAAGAGTGGGCTATTCTATTAATATTGCAAAGAAAAAATCAATTTTAAACAAAGAAAAAGCTAAAAATAGATTAAAATACGCTAAGGATATGCTGAAAAATCTATCTAATATTAGATTAGATAGGATAAT